GGGGGGGGGGGGGGTTGGATTGAACAGCCAGAGGGCCCCAGAGTTCCTTACATCTAATTTCACCTCCACCCCCACCCTCCAGGGTCGGGGAACAGGAAGCCCAGATATTCAGAGAGACAGGAATACCAGCTGCTCTCCCTCATCCCCTTCACCCTCCTGCCCTCCTTAATGCTTTTGCCTTCTTCCACCCCAGCCCACTTCTGCTTGTTTTAAAGGAGTATCTCAGTTCTAGTCAGACCAGTGTATCCAGGGATAGGGTGTGGAAAGAGGGGCCCAAACTTAGCTCCAACCCCCTTCCCTCCCCACCTCCCTCACCAGACCACCAGCAAACTTGCTAAGGGAGAATAAAAGAATGGCCAGCCTTCCCTTCAAAGCAATCTTGCCTGGGAAGGAGAGATTTTAGTGACATGTGCAGTGGGCTACTTGCTAGAATTTTTTAAACAATTTACAAACTTATTTAAGTTCCACCAGTGCCTCCCATCCCCCCCTCTCCAAATCCATTTTAACAAGGCTGGGAAGCAGATTGACTTGTAAAGGAAAGGGCTGGGGTTCCACCCTCTCCCCCAAGCTGCTGATCCCCTCCTCCCCTGCCAAGCCTGGAAAGGCCGCAGCCCCTTTAGGAAGCCCCTAAAGCCCCTACCCCCTTCTGCCCCAACAGACCTTTCTTCACCCTTGGGCTTTGGGACCCAGACAAAGCAGCCGCCCCTCTCCCTGACAAAGAGGAGTTGTCCCCCCAAAAGATAGAGGGGGAGCCCCAAGCCCAGGGTCTTTCCTCCCCACAGCACTCCCCCAAACTCCTAAATTTTATTCTTAGCTAGATTTTAATGCCCGGCCTCTTCTCAGCTCAGTTGGGAAGGCAACCCTGGCAAAAGGAGGCAGAGCCCCCCTGCCCCGCTGTGGACCCCCGTTCAAGCCCAGGGTTGCTAGGGAGGGGCTCTGTTTTATTCACCCGACAGCCCTGGCCCCCTCCCCCCATCCTGGGCGCTCCTCTGCTTAGCTGTCAGCTGTCTATCACCTCTTAGCCCATTTGGGCTTTTTTTCTCTCAATAGAAAAGTTGGGAGCCCCCATTCAACCTCAAATCTGCCCCTCTCAGAACTTCTCCCCATCCCAGGAGGAGCTCTCAGGCTTGGGATGGGGCCCCGGGTGGGCGCAGGGGTGAATCAATCTGTGTGCTGGGAAGGATGAGACTTCCTCTTGAACAGTGTGCTGTTGTAAACATATTTGAAAACTATTACCAATAAAGTTTTGTTTAAAAAAAAGTGTCCCTGGTATTCCCGAATTTAGTCCGCCCCCCTCCCTCCCTGCCCCCACCCCCGGCCGGGAGGATGGGAAGGGAATTTTGCACCCTAGGGTCGAGGCTGATTAGGACCTGGCCTGGAGTCCTGGTAAAAATGGGTTTAGCTGACTTCCGTCACTCACCCCCAGGAAAAGGGGGCGGCAAGTTGCGTTATAACCCTGAATTCGGGGTTCCCCAAGTCTGCGTCGCGCACCCCTCGGCATACAGCTCTGGGCCGAAAGGGAGTTCCAAGGAGACTCCGGGGCCGGCGCGCTGGGAAGCCGAGCTATGGGGTGGGCAAGAGAAGTGGGGGCCTGGCTGGGGGCGGTCAAGGGTAGGGGTGACGGGGCGCGTCCCCCTCC